TGGAGGTTTTAGAGGACCTGAGGAGACCAGTTGGAGGTTTTAGAGGACCTGAGGAGACCAGTTGTTGGAGGTTTTAGAGGATCTGAGGAGACCAGTTGGAGGTTTTAGAGGATCTGAGAAGACCAGTTGTTTGAGGTTTTAGAGGACCTGAGGAAACCAGTTGGAGGTTTTAGAGGACCTGAGGAGACCAGCTGGAGGTTTTAGAGGATCTGAGGAGACCAGTTGGAGGTTTTAGAGGATCTGAGAAGACCAGTCGTTGGAGGTTTTGAAGGGGATGTCTTCTCATTCTGGTCTGGTGGAGATGTTCAACAGTCCTGGATCTTCTCTCCTAGATGGAGCAGATGTTCTAAAACCCGCATTTACCTTTTTTGCACTGATTGAGCCTTTCCAGATGTGTAAGCTGCTCATTCCTGATGCTCTAATGCACCCCCATACCATCAGAGAGGCATGCTTTTGAACTGTGAGCTGATAACTGGCTGCATGGTCTCTCTTCTCTTTATTACTGAGGATGTGGTTTCCAAACAGAACTTCAGCTTTGGATCCATCTAACCACAGAACAGTTCTCCACTTCACCTCAGTCCATCTGAAACTAGTTCTGGTCCAGAGAAGACGGCAGTGGTTCTGGATGGTGTTCACATCGGGCTTCTTTTTTGACTGATAGAGCTTTAAGCATCATCTGTGGATGAACTGTGTTTACAGACCATTATCTGTTCCAGAGCCCTGAACAGAAACCGGACCTGTTTTTTATGCAGGGGCCCCCGAGGGCCCGAACCATCAACCATCCAATGTTGACTTTCAGCCTCGTCCTTTAAGCTCAGAGATTTCTACCGATTCAATCTGCTGATGAGATTCTGAACTGGAGGTGATGGGAGATTCAAAGTCTTTCTTTGAGGAACTTTATTTTGAAAATGTCCCACTGTGTCAGACAGATTTTCACTGACTGGTGAACCTCTGCCCATCTTTACTTCTGGGAAAATTAACCTCTAAAAGTCTCTTTTATTGCAGGGAATTAACTTAATGATTTATTAAATGATCACTCAGCTGGTTCTTATTTGTAAAACTGACTTTTAAAACCTTTTGTTGCTCCTGGAACAACTTTTTACTGACAAGTTGCTGCCATCAAATTGAAAATATGATTTATTTATTCCCCAAACGGCTGCATTTTATTTATTTACTGTGATGATCGATAAAACATCTGCTGATAAAATTGACAAATCATTGCACACTATTCATATTTTGTATTATGCACAACGTCCCAACATGTTCAGAACTGGAGCAGTTCTTAAAATGACCACATAGATTTGTGAGCTGAGGAAAGATGTCAAAAGTAATTTTAATACGGACTTAAAGACTAAACAAATGAAAAAATAAGGACTTAGGTGACAAACAGTGATGCAGGGTGAAAATAATAATAATTAAAATAAAATCCAAAAGAGATGAGCTTTGAAAGCAACAAGCAGAATCATTTTCTACAGCAGTTTAGAGGAATTGTTAGTAGTTTTTTTATTTAAAGCTTAGAGCGAAACAGAACCAGATCTGATCAGGTGGTGGAGGAGGAGGGTCTGAGTCCAACAGGTCATGCGACCAACAAGTGGACCCACAGAGATCTTGATTTCTCCTCCGTTCACCTTCTTTGTGCTCCGGGAGCTTTTCATGAAAACTGCTCTTTGTTCAGCAGCTCAGCTCGGGTTTCTGTCTGCTCGTCGCCGCTGAGGACCAAAACTTTTAACTATTCAGTGATTTATTGGAGCACAGAGTCAGACTTGGGCAATAATCTTTAAATATTTATCATAAAATAGCATTTTTAAAGGTTTGAACTGTGTAATGTGGCCACTTTCTGGCAAAAAGTCCTGAAAGATTCCAGTCTAATCAAGCCAACGATCTAAATAAATGAATTTACAAACAATTACCATATTTTTCAAACTATAAGGTGCATTTAAAAATCCTTTAATTTTCTTAAAATCCTTTAATTTTCTCAAAAATCAACAGTGACCCTTATGTATTAATTCAGGTTGTGCTCACCTCAAACTGATTTTATGTGGAACTGAACAATGTTGAGAGTTGTTGTGAATGAGTTGAATAAAGTTCGACTTATCTAAATGTTTTGTTTAGCTTAATGCGCCTTATAGTCTGAAAAATACAGTAACTATAATCATCCTTTCATACCGCCGCTCCTATATTTTAGACACATCCGTTTGTTTTTTGTTAATTAATTTTTTTAGATGAACCTAAACTGGTTTGCTCCACTGAGTTCATCTGGTCAGGAAACTGCAGCAGGTTGTTGCCAAGTCTCTTTTTCATCAAACTACCGGTAATTTTCTCCAGTTTTTCCACCATGAAAACCGTATTTTTTTTTCTTCCAATTTATGAAGAATTCAGGAAGACTTTAAGGTGATGACTGAAATGCATCTGCGACTGAGAAATCCACCGTCTGATCCAACATTTAAACAGTTTTCTTCCACGAACTGAATCGTAACACGTCCCCATTTCTTTGCAAAACTCAAAACACTCAGCGAGGCCTATTTCACGCGCCCTGACGGACTTTCAGCACCTGTTTGACCTTTTGCACCTCTCTTCAGGCCTCCATTTCCAAAAAGATCCATGCAGAATGTGGAGGACGTAACATAAGGTCCTTTGTTCCTTGTTTGGTCATCTGGACAGACCGTTATTTGGTTATTTGGTGCTAAAAATATAAATCTTAACGGCATAAAAGGAGTAAAATTGCATTTTTCTTCCTGCAGAGCTCACTGCAGACACAGGAAGTCACTTCATTCTCAGTCTTTACCTGTTCGGAGTTGTTGTTTATTCGAGTTGTTTACCATCAGA